AATCTCTGGTCCAAATAACCAAGAGAAGCTGGAGGAACGGTGCCGGCTTTCAGATATTATAGCCAACTCAGAGCCAATAGTATTCAACATTTCCCGTGGAATTAAAACAAGTTGCATTAATTTAATTAGTTTTCCCATCCCAGTTCGATTAATGTAGGAAGTTGTGCTGGTGGTTGCAAGCAAACGAACAACTTCTTCCAAACCCTAGTAAGGTCAAGCTCCTATGTAAACATATTTTGGAAAATTTTAGAAATGGCATGATTTAAGATAAACACGTTTGTTTCTTATCTAAATTCCAAAATGACAATAAAAATAACGAGACAAAATTTCGCATCGAAGAATAGCGTAATCTTTTTACTACAGATTTCTAAGCACGTCTAATCATCTGGTCGCCAAGTGGAGGGTTGTGGAGGTCAGCGCTTGCAGGACGAAGGTCCGTGAAAAAATTGCAATGGCGGGTGGAGCTGCCATCGCAGAAAACAAATAAATCCGTTCATTTTAAGTCGTTCTTCATTTATATAAATACATATATTGCAGAATGGTATTACCGACAAAGACAAGGGAGACTGGAATGGCCATTTCTGGCTTATTAGCCGTCGTCAGCCAGTCATACCCAAGCCCGAAGTGTGGAACACCCGACCCTCGAACTCGCGACCTGTTAGTTAGAAGTCCACGCCTGTACCCATTGGGCCACGAGCCTGTTGCCCTGTCGGTTTTCGATCAGGAATATACAATGGTAGGGGGCGCTCACCGATCGTTCATACTGACCTCACTCGTTCCGTTGTGCCTTAAGGGCTCTCTCTCGAGCCCAACCAGCAGCCGCACAGCGGCGCATGATATAAAGGCAGAATGGTATATATATTGGCAGAATGCTATTACCATTATATACTATTATATATCAATATGCGTGAAGATTCGAGGTCCAGATATATTTCCGTGTTTGTCATCCCCCGAGTAAGATGAAGTAGAGAAGGCGATTTCATGGACCAGAGTGTATTCAAACTGACATTTCGGAAACACTCTCGTTTCCATCATCAGAGTCGGTCGCTGGCGTTTCCTGCTGGCCTTGATTTTTTCAGCCTTGCCGCCTGCCTCGTATTATAACCGTGCCCGGCGCACGCACGTTGGTTAGCCTGTTTTCCGTTGGCCGATTGTGGCCTCTCTGATCCCAGCCATTGGCGGACTGGCGTACCTTGTGTCTCCCTCGTGCCTAACGTGGTTGCCGCTGCGTCGGCGTGCTCGTTGGCCTCCCCCTCGTCAGGCGGCGGGCTGATAGATTTTCGCTCCTCAGGCATGGTCTTTCCGCCCTCGCGAGTACGTCCGTGAGATAGCGTGCCACGCCGGTCACGTGACTTGCGGTCAACGCCTTCCCTCTCCGCCAGCGTCGGTAGTCAACCCCGTGTGATTCCTTTCATCCTTGCCATTGGCCTTGCCTGGACTGACTCGAGCCTCGCGCGAAGCGCCTGATAGGCGGGATGTAGGTCTATGGCCCAGTTGAGGGTGCCAGTTGAGGACCAACTTTCCAGCATCAGTCTGGCCATTTTGTCATTGGCTCGACCGACCACCCGCGTTTTCTCGAAAGCGAAATTGTGGTTCCGTTCCAGTGTGTGGCCATACACCAGCGACAGCTTATCCTTGCGGTTAATTGCAAGCTGATGCTCATGCAATCTTGTGCCGAGGCTTTTCCCCGTTTCACCAACATACCTTGCATCACAATCTTGGCATGGTATGCTGTAAACCACCGTTGATTGTTCTGTCACCGGCAGCGGGTCTTTGGGCCTCATTAACTGCTGTCTGATTGTTGATGCTGGTTTATGGGCCACACCGATTCCAAAAGGTTTCAGAATTCTTGAAGTCGCCTCTGAAACATTCTTCACATACGGGATCGAGAGCCAGAACTTTGGTTTCTCCTCGTTCGACCGCCCAGAGTGGGACTTCCTGAGACACTTGCGTATGAATGACTTCGGGTAACCGTTGGCTTCAAACCCCAAATGACGATTTCCGAAGCTGAAGAACGAGAACTTTTCAATATAGGAAAAATTAAGAATATCGTCACCCTGCCTGCTGACAAGGGGCGCTCGACGGTCGTCATGGATAAGACCGAATACTGGACTAAACTGGAGAACTTGCTGATGGACACGGAATCTTATGCGCTTTCGAGTGCCAGCGAGTTCAAAAAGCTTGTAAACAACATAAACAAGACGGTAGGGAGGTTAAAGAAAGCGAACGCCCTCACGAGAAGAGATGCCCTGTCCGCGAAAGCTACTGACACCGCGATGGCACGCTTCTACGGCCTGCTCAAGGTACACAAGCCAGGAGTGCCCCTCCGCCCAATCGTCTCTTTGCGTGGCACCCCAACCTTTGGACTGTCAAAGTGGCTATACCGGCGACTGCGTTTCCTCATCAAGGACTCGGAGTGGACGGTGAAGTCAGCTGAAGAGTTTTTGACTCGCACCCGACATCGTAGAGTGGAGGCAGACGACGGGTCGGTGTCACCGACTTGAAAATTTACGTGTACAACTTAGTTTTCCGAAGAGCCTTCACTTTCTCATATATATATATATATATATATATAAATAAATGTATATATAAATATAAATATATATATTTATATTTATATTATATATATATATATATATATATATATATATATAAATATTTGCTTCGGGAAGCCAATGGATCGGTGTGCGCCCATTCCTGAGTGAATAAATACCCGATCTGCAGCGACAGAGAATGGCAGGTGGCGAGGCACTGATGAACTTCGGTTCGATGAAGTGCTTATGACCCATCTGGTAGACCCCAGTGGTGGACCAGCTGCGCCAGGTGCGTCTGAGCGCATGTTTGTGTTTCCGGTACCAGCTGGTGGTCAGGGTTATGATTGGCTGAATGAAGGCAAACAAGCCCGAAACAGTGCTGTATCAATCTACCCCCAGACTCTGTCGTCTCCCCTCTGCTATCATAGCTTGGCCGACTTCGGCCTGGTAGGTGGTTGCCTGTTCGTGACCCCTATCGCCCATACGAAGCTTGTTTGCTTCGGGAAGCCAATGGATCGGTGTGCGCCCATTCCTGAGTGAATATATATATATATATATATATATATATATATATATATATATATGGATATAGGCGAAAATGCCGACCCCAGGTGTTGAGATGGAAGAAGGTAAAGAGATCTCTGGGGAGGATGATTTATTCATCTGACGTTTCACACTCATTCTTGAGCGCATCATCGGAGATAGATTAAAAGTGGGAATACAAGGTTTAAATAGGTCTTTCTTACTCAGTACTGATAGGTCCATTGTTCTCTCTTCCCATTGGTCCTCCCTTCCTGCTCAAGTGGTGTCTGACGGCCTCATATGGCGCCGGTAGATCGATCCTACGGTTGATCGAGTTGGCGTTGGATTGCCATCCTTCCTCAAGACATGAAAGAGACGTTCAGAAGCAAATTGAACTCAATTTTCCCCCAAATTCAATTCACAATGGAGGAAGAAAAGGACGGGGAAATCCCCTTTCTGGATGTTCAGGTGTCGAGACAGGAAGACGGAGCCCTCCAAACTGGTGTCTTTCGAAAGGCGACCGATACAGCGAAAATCCTCCATTACAGCAGTAACCACCCCTTGTCACATAAACGCAGTTGCGTGCGGACACTCTTCCTACGCATCAACACACACTGCAGCACAGAGGCTGAAAAGCTGCGAGAGCGTAAATCCCTATGGCGTCTCTTTCTCTCCAACGGGTACCCACGCAGCTTCATAAACAAATGCCTGTATCAAAGGCACATGAAGACCGACGGTGAACAAAAACAAAAACCTGAATTCTTCCGTGCTTTGCCCTACGTGAGTGACGTTTCCGAAGCCACTGAACGCATGCTCAGACCACTCAACGTGGGCCTTGGACACCAGCCGGAGGTCACTATCCGCCGCTTACTCATGCAGCCCAAGGGGCGGCTACCACCTGAGGACACGTCAGGAATTGTTTACCGCGTCAACTGTCTAAACTGTCCGGCCAATTATTGTGGCATGACCGACAAACGATTAAGGTCGCGCATGCATGAGCATTCTCTAGCTGTAAAGCGAAAAGATGGGCGATCACATGTTGCTATGCATAGCCTCGAAAATGACCATCAATTCGGCTTCGACAAGGCAGAAGTAATCGGCCGAGCTGAAAGCAAAATGGCGAGAGAGATAATCGAAGCCTGGCAATCCAACGCCAACTCGATCAACCGTAGGATCGATCTACCGGCGCCATATGAGGCCGTCAGACACCACTTGAGCAGGAAGGGAGGACCAATGGGAAGAGAGAACAATGGACCTATCAGTACTGAGTAAGAAAGACCTATTTAAACCTTGTATTCCCACTTTTAATCTATCTCCGATGATGCGCTCAAGAATGAGTGTGAAACGTCAGATGAATAAATCATCCTCCCCAGAGATCTCTTTACCTTCTTCCATATATATATATATATATGAGATGATACCGACAAAGTCAAGGGAGACCGGGATGGCCATTTCTGGCTTATTAGCCGTCATCAGCCAGTCATACCCAACCCCAAGTGTGGATCACTTGAGATTCGAACCCGGGATCTTTGGTCATGGAGTTTGACGCTCTACCACTGAGCCACGGGACCGTTGTCCTGTCGTTTCAAAAGCAGACGAGCTTTCATCGTCGAAGGTGAGTGTTGTACCGCGCTCCACAGTATTTATAAGTGATGACGATCTTTTGCAACGGGGTTACTTCTCGTTGGGGGTCGGCGTTTGAGGACTAGCCGTCATCGCACGTGTTCACATTGATCTTCCTAGGTCGCAATCTTCATTACGATCCCGCGACCGCCTGTGCTCTCACCTGCCGGACAAGTAGCAGTGACGATGGCACCTCCGTCGGATTCGTTTATGTTACCGTGACCGTCCGTTTTCTCACCTGCTGGACGATGGCGTCTCTAAGGCGGTCTTCCGTCTCCTAAGGCCACTGGGGATTGGCATTGCCCATCGGCCAGAGTCTGCACTTCGGCATCTTGTCATGAGAGCTAAGACCCCCTGCCACCCGGTGAGAAAACAAACGTCATTTATCGGATCCAATGAAGCCTCGGCGAAATGAACAACATTGGAGAGACCGGTTAACGTCTGCAGACCCGTGTTTGAAAACACCTGAGGGCGGTAGGGAGGATGGACCGGTTGTTTTTGGTGGCAGGATACTGCGCCAACTCTGGACATACGTTCACCTCCCTGAATGCTGAAATCTTTGGCCGAGGAAATGGCCGCGTGATCAGAGAAACAATCGAGGCCTGGAATACCGACACGAACTCCATCAACCACTGTGTAGCTCTTCCCAAAGCCTACCAGGCCCTCCAGACGCAGCTCAGTTAACATAGGAGCAAACGCGGGATGCGACAAGACAGGAAGCCAAATACAGCCGAGTCCACGGGGACAGAAACGAAGCTATACTGCAACCCGGATCTGAAGAAGGTGCGATCGTCACCACAGCCGCGTCATCCACTTATCACGGTAGGTGAGAAAACGGACGGTCACGGTAACATAAACGAATCCGACGGAGGTGCCATCGTCACTGCTACTTGTCCGGCAGGTGAGAACACAGGTGGTCACGGGATCGTAATGAAGATTGCGACCTAGGAAGATCAATGCGAACACGTGCGATGACGGCTAGTCACCGAACGCCGACCCCCAACGAGAAGTAAACCCGCTGCAAAAGACCGTCATCATTTATAAATACTGTGGAGCGCGGTGCAACACTTACCTTCGACAATGAAAGCTTGTCTGCTTTTGAAACGTCAGGGCAATATAACTTTGGTTCCCGAGATTGCCTCTTCTTATCAATTATGTCCGGGACGCGCATATTCGCTTCAATCAGCATATTTATGTATATTAAATAAGGAGTGGGCTCATACCGATCGATTAACTTCCCGAAACAAACTAATTTCGTATGGGCGGCAAAGGTCACGAATAGGTAGCCATCTACAAGGCCGCAGTCGGCCAGAACATAATAGCAGCGAAAAGGGACGACAGAGAATGAGGGTAGACTGATATAACACTGATTTGGACTTGTTTTGCCTTCATTCGGCTAATCATAGCCCTGACCAGCGGTTGGGACCAGAGTCACAAGCATGCGCACAGACACATCCGTCGTCCCTCCTCGCTGCTCTTATGACTTGGCCGACTTTGGCCTGGTAGTTGGTCGCCTGTTCGTGATCATTGCCACACGTACGGAACTTGTTTGCTTCAGGGAGCCGATAGAACGGTGTGCGCCCATTCCTGATTAAATACATACTCGATCTGCAGCGACAGAGAATGACGGGTGGCGACGCACTGATGAACTTCGGTTCGAGGAAGTGCGTATGCCCCATCTGGTAAACCCCAACGGTGGACCAACTGCGCCAGGTGCGTCTGGGCGCATGTTTATGTTTCTGGTCCCAGCTGTTGGTCAGGGTTATGATTGGCTGGAAGATGGCAAAATAAGCCCAAAACAGTGCTGTATCAGAGTTGCGGAAATTCCCATAACATTAATCAGAAGACGAGGCGGCGTGCATACGTAGCTTTCGATAAATTCTTGTCGGACCAGTACAGTTATATGAGAACGGGGTAGAAGTAAAACGTGTCATCGATAAGAGAAATCGATAAAGGTTCTCCTTAAAACACAGGCGGGTGATTCTCTATCTGCCAGTCAGCAGAAAATAGGAATTCCGACGGAGGCACTCAAGGAACTGTTACTAAGATACACATTAAATGTGCAGTTCCTGTTCGACAACCAACTCTATAGACAAGTAGACGACGTTGCTATGGCTCACACCTTGGACCTCTCCTAGCCGATGTCTTTATGGGCAAATTGAAGAGCTTCCAACTAAGCGATCAGATCGACAAGCTTAAACATTCCGGTCGCTATGTTGATCATATCTTTGCAATTGCCACTACAGAAACCGACGTGGCTACCCTCTTAGATGCTGCAAATCAGACACATCCGTCGATCAAATTCACGCTGGGGATCGAAACGGCCGGTTCGCTCACTTTCTTAGATGTTCTTCTAAGCAGGAGACCTGACGGGAGTGTCCGAAGAAGCGTCTGTCGAAAGAAAACCTGGTCTGGACAATACACGAACTTCACCAGTTTCTTACCCCCTCCAACAAAAACGAAATCTAGTCCGATGTTTGCACAAAGAGCTAACAAGATTTGCTCAACAGATAGAATCGAGGAGGAGGTCAGAAAAATCCAGGACTTCCTTCGCAAAAATTGGTATCTTGACAGGTTTATTGCAAAGAACATTGCCGAACGATCGATCAAACCCGCCACACGCAGCGCCGAAAAGAAAACTTTGTTCCTCAAGGTCCCTTTCCAAGGGGACGCTGCGAGTGAACTCCTATGGAGACGCCTTGATCAAACTGTCTTGCGAACTTTCCCAACAGCAAGAGCTCAAATATCATTCTCTACTGACTCTACTTTACGCGGAGAAGGTAAGGATGCATTGCCACCGCAGACCACCTCAGTGCGCATCTATT